TGCCGTGACCCGGGATCGAACCAGGGACCTTCAGATCTTCAGTCTGACGCTCTCCCAACTGAGCTATCCCGGCGATACTGGTCTGCCTAAAGAGCTATTACATTCTGACTTGTGGGTTTCTTCCATTCAAGTAAACATAACTAATCATTAGTTATATTCCATTATTGTCTTTTGTTGACAATTTTTATTTCAAATTAAATCGGATGATAGCCTTAGTCAATCATTTGGATAATTAGATCTTATTGAATTCGATTTGCTTCGGAGCCTATTCAAATATGATAGGATAATGTCAGCTTTAATATAATGTAGGAGACAGCTAAATTGAAATCTGCAGTGTTCGAATCCGGTCAAATTCTTTAATAGACACATCATAGAGTATACTGACCTGAGATTAAAAAGTAAAGAAATTAAGAATTCCATGATTTAGCTTAGTCAACTGTTACATGTATATGGTGTTTCATGAATAACACTCTGATAAGAAACCTAGATGTATCCACTAGATGAATCGAAATACTTCTTAATGATAGAGGCTTACTTAACCCTTCTCATACAAGTAGCATAAACAAATCACTTTTCCTAAGTAATAAGATCAGTATCAGTAAAGATTATTTTTAATTATCGCGAGCTTGACAACATAATACTAAGGTGACCTATATGCATTTTCAAGGCTCTTTTTTCTGGTAGTGAGATAAGAAAATCAAAAGAATGTTTAAATTATATAAATCATAATGAATACAAACTGAGATTATGAAGTAACTTAATCCAAATGTTCGAGATTATATTAGTAAGCATCGATGCATCTTTAAAGTCATTCAAGTACTGATTCACAAATTTTCTAGCTCAGATCAGAATCTACTGTTAAAAACGCTGCGATGATTGATTACTTTAGATTGGATACGGTTTGATGCTTGCGTATATACACTATATCTTTATCACTTTTACATTCAAAAATTGATTTGTTATCTGGTAAATCACTAAACACTTAATGGAAGTTCTCGCTCAGTTTCTTACGATAACTTAAAACAGTCACTTGGCTATCGAAAAAAAATAAAATTTAGTCATATCTTCAGACAGAATACCAGTCCGCACAGTAGAATCTTCAGATTGCATTATTTACCTTATGTAACATTTACATTTTCAGTTGCCGAACATATGGAATTATGATGATTAATACGTCCATTGAGTTTAAGCATTACCTCATTCAATTAGATGATACGATAGACAAGATCAGGCTCGTTCTTTCATAGTAATAGGAACGTCTCGTAGTATTCAACTCGAAGATTAAAGTCATATTTGCTGAGTTCATGAACTAATCTAGAAGTATACGCCGAATTGAAGTTCTAAAAATATTTATTTGTAAACTCATGCAATGAGTTAATATTTTTCAGATTTTTCTTGCAAAATCGAGGAAAATTCATCTGTTGCAGTTTAGCCAATAATTAATATTGAGTACAGTTTATGTCATCAGTTTGTTCAAATTTGCCGATAAGCATCATATCGTACTACAATGTATATATATATAATAATGATTTTTTATTTGAGCTATGAACGAGACTCGCTCCTGTAGCGTAACAAAAATCATTTTGAGAATGAGAATATCGTATGAAACGGGTGTTGAAAAACCATAATAGCTGAGATACATCAGAGGTAAAGAAAAAAAAGAGAGATCATCAGGGCAGATTTACTGGAACCAAAGGGCATGATCAAAAAGTGATAGACGATCTTTAGTGATGAGTTTTTGCATCTCTTTGAATTTCTTCCTCTTTTGTATATTTCCTTTCGCTGTTTTGTCAAGGTTGCGTTCCATCTAAATTCTTTTTAATATACAATTGACAGCTTTTGTTGAAGAAAATCTAAAATGACTTCTGAATTTGTTGCTAAGATTGTGCAAGATAGTTTGTCCCAGGGTGTATTTGATAATTTCTCAAGTGTTTGATATTTCGGAAGATTTTCGATTTCAATGTTTCTGGCGTCGTGCCTTTGATAAATTGTTCGCAAGATTTTTCTGTGCAATCCCTCTAGTTGTTTTTTTGTACTTTATAAAAGGATTGGACAGATATTTAGTATTGATTGTAAATAAGGTTGAATGAAAGCATTATATGGTCGATAATTCACTTCTTCACTTATCGTCTGACTAGATGCTAATCGTTTTAAATACGTACATGTTTATTCGTATTTTCGATTTGATATAATCTATATGACTTATAAAAGATCATTTGTCATCTAGTATTGTGCCCAAATGTTAGAATTTATTCACATGTTCAATTTCTTAATCTCCACAAGTAATGATTGAGGTTGTCGCTCAGGTTGTCGATTGAAAAGTGTCCAATAAGTTTTATTAAAGTTTAGTGGTTGTTTCCACTTGTTCGAGTAACTGATTAAACGAATGAGAACTTTTTCTATTTGACTTATTAATGCAAGTATCATATCCGTTGATGGCATTGATGATAACGGAGCAACTAGTAAAGCTAAGTCGTCGGCGCATAGATGCTTTCAATATATCGTGATGATAAACAATAAATAAGACTAGCCCTATACAGCTGTCATGAGAAACATATTTGATAAAACCAATGTGTTCGACGAACAATTTTTGATGTCAATCTAGGCGTTTCGTTCTTTGAGGTAACTCGTACTGCAATGTACGATCTTATTATTTCTATAAAAAAATCATAAACAGATGGGAGAAAGCTTATAATAATACTCTAAAATCATTGTGCAACATTATTAAAATCTTATAACAAATGAAAAGTACATTTCGATGTTAATCTTACTAGATAGGACCAGCGATTTGTTGATGCTTCTCGTATAACAAACAACTTTAAGTGAGCCACTATTATCGACAGAATTTTCATTTCGTTTTACTGATATCAAACGGAGATATTTTAATTCTCTATTACACTGTTACTTATGTTCCACCCTAAAGTATAATCTATAGAATCTAGAATATATTCGTTTTACTGAATATTGTTAACACCTGACCTATTACTCAGATTAAAAAGAAAAAAAAAGAGAATGCCGTGACCCGGGATCGAACCAGGGACCTTCAGA